GGACCTGAGGTTCTGGCGCTCTGGCACGAAAACGAGAACGGCAATCGGCAGCCGTTGACGAGAGGTCGAAAGTCGAAAGGATGCACAAATGCAAAACCACACCCCCCCCTCTCCTTGCAGCGGCTCTTTGCAGCATCCGCCCACACAACTTCTGTGCTCTGTCAGCAAGGGTCTCTCTCTCGCTCTGTGGTTGCGCACGTGTAATTGGTCTGGGCCGACCTGGGGTTGCGCAGAGTCTTTTTGGTGCGCCAGTCGAGGTTCGCAGCTCACGGAGAAGGGAGGGGCCAGCCGCGGCAACACACGCTGTGGTCTCGTCTCGTCCGTCTTGTGGCCGCTGGCGCTGAACACTGGACACCGAGGTGCTCGGTGCACGAGGCCGTTTGGTCTAGCCGATGACGTACGTACCCTGGAGGCTGGCTTCCGCCGTCTTGTCGGCGCGGGCCGGAGGGGCAGCAAACACGATGCAAGACCAAAGTAGAGCGTATACGGGTAGGACGGGCGGATGCTTCTTCGGCTCTTACATCCGACGAACAGGTCGGCCGTGGGTTGTGGGCCGTGGGTCTCGTGTTCGTGACATCAAAACATGAGTGCCGAATCTTGTTTCCCCGTGCTCTCTCGAAGGACGTAAGATCCGCCGACAGAGATCTTGTGCCCCGACAAGCCACGCGTGACAAGGCGAAGAGGCCAAAACAGCAAACGGTCAAATCCGATCCGTACATTGCCAGCTGGCGGCAGCAGAAAAGCAAAAGCAAAGGAAAATACACCCGCAGCGAATAAAGGATGGAGGGGAAGAGAAAAGAATGTCGAAAGGTTGACCGGCCACAGCAGCGGGAAGGGAAGGCTTCGGGAACAGTTTTGGCATGTTGACAATGACAACATTGCTGTGATGCGATGCAAGGGAGCCAGCGCCGAGCCGATGACGTTATGCACTTATAGAGGATTCAGTTAGGCAGAATCCAAATTTGCAAAGTCGGGGTGTCTACAGTATCTGCGCTATCCAGCGCACTGGGGACGATACCTCCTGCGGCACCACGAACCCCTCGCCCAAGACAGCTGGTTGCATGCCATCACAACGCAGGGTTTTGCGTTCGAACATCTCGAGAGGCTTCGGATCTGTCCCGGGCCACTGGAGCGAGAACGCCGACGCTAGCACGACGAGCGCAGCATGTCTCGGTGGACCTCCCAACGAACAAGAGTCCAGACCAGCTTGGCCTCAGCTGCACCTGCCGCATGCTCACTCTGCCAGCTGCACGCAACAACATCGAAACAACAGCTCCTACGCCCAAGTGGCAGGAGCAACCGTTTGACTCATCCAAGACAGGCTCAGCCGCTCAGCGTACCTTACTTCTAGCCCAAAACACGACGAGCATGCAGACTGCTGTCTCTGTCATGCACTGGAACGACGACCTGGACCCTGGCGCGCTGAAGCGATGCGCAAGCAAGCGAGCATCACGCACCAAGGGATTGTTGTTTTGCGCGCACGTTCGCAGTGTTCACAGCATCAGCATCTAGGGTCCTGTCCACCGAGCGTCACATCAACCAGGAGCACACGCTCCGGATCCACCCTTCCCATCTACCGCCGCACGTGTTTTTTTCGACAGCCATGGCCAGGCTAAAAACAAGAATCTAAGACCTGCAGTCCGGACTATCCGGGCTCGTGGAAGAGGAGAGAGCGTCCAAACCAATCAGTCCTGAACAGGAAACCCGGCGGCCGCGTCATTGGGAGCCCAGGGACGCCGTCTTGCTACCCTCTCGATCTGCGGAACCAGAGACAAACCGACCAGATCGGGCCCCAGTCAGTGGGAAAATCAGGGCAGAAACGTGGCTTTCCATCTGTCTTGGGCCTTTCCGTGCTCTTCTCGGCTGCGGACAGCCTCTGGCAGGTCCCTGCTCCCTGCCCCATGACGTGACGGGTCTCGTCGGCGTCGTTTACAGCCGAGTCTGAGGGAGACTCCAAGGTATGTTTCGGACTCGAGAGGCATGAATACCTTACAAGAAAGAGATCGCGAGAGAAACTACCGAGCTGAAAATCCCACCCTCCATTCAACCTCCCCAACACACTAGTGCAAGCCATATCACCATCCTTCTCTTCGTCTTCCAGAGCCAACCAACCCTCGTGGCTCCCACGATGGACGTAGGCACATGTAGGGATCCAGAATAAACCACGACCCCCCTTCGTAAACCATCTCACCGCCACGACAAACAAAAGCAATCCCCATCTCACAGAATCCGCGTGCGCAACAATTCCATACCCTTCCCAAAACGCAACATGACGAATCCCCTCCCCCCCCTCCTGCAGGGACCTTCAGGGTCCCACATCTCAGACCTCTCGTCTCGATGCCCTCGTGCTGTCGCCTGCGATTGGCCCGATGGCTTACGTCGCGCATGCAAATAGGGATCCTGTGCGCTGCCATCGGCGGCTCGGGCAGGCGTGGGCGTCAGGCGAATCCTGGTTTGCGTGTAGACCCTTCTTGCGCTGGTTGCGGTGGGAGGGGCGACGGGGGATGGGCCTGCGAAGTTGGGAGTTGTGGTTGTGAATGGTAGGGATGGGGTAGGTATGGGGATGCTGGAGGGATGACGTAACGTGGGAGGACATCAGGGTCCTGTTGTGTATTTTGGGTAAGGGGGGGGGGGGGGGGGATAATGGGTGTGGTGCCACGATGAGATGCGGTGCGTGTAGGGTTGAGTGTCGGTGTAAAGCATAGGGGGGTGGGTTTGGGTAGGGGATTATGTTGAGTGTACCTACGGTGAGACCGGTTTGGGGGGAGCTGGGTTTGTTGGGGGTTGTTCGGGGGTTTGTTTATACCCCTTTTCCGGGCTGAAAGCGGGTAAATGGGTGATGTCGCTCGCGTATCATCATTGTCACTGGCAATACTAAGAACGGTTCTTGCAGTAAAGAAAGGACGGTAAGGCGCAGCCAAGAAATCCTTGCCGGGTCCATCAAAGCTTGTTGCTGACGTCGTTGCCGGGAAAAGGGGGGAGCGGGATTATGACGGAGATGTGTTGACGGGGTGCAGATGGGTTAGATACTTGGCAAACGAATTTGACCACAAATAAACAATCAAGGATATTTCTAATTCCATCCCACTCGTCATATGACAAACTCACACATACCAAGTTTGCTGTGGTTGAGATGTTCTTATGGTCCCTGCCTTGTCGGCCGACTGGGCACCCACACACAGCAAGCTCACCAAACGCGGCAATCATGCTGGCAACAATCGACGCCATCCCGACACCATCCGCAATGCCCATCCGTTCCCCTTCCGGAACACTCATTCGAGATGCTCCCTCCAAGCCAGCACAGCCACAACCATCGACTGCGGACGAAGCAAGTGCTGGCCCAGTGAAACTGTCACCGGCATCTCCGTGATGTCAATACAACCCCAATCAACAGCCCAAGACAAAAACATATTTCCCCCTTTTCCTTCGCGTTGCTTGATGACGCCGAGAACAGCGTCCACATTCGACAGCAATGCTGGAACCTCCCAGTCTAAACCCCCATATACGAGTTGCCCATTGCTACCTTATTTAAGAGCTGATATTGGGTTTTTTTTTTCCATGACATGTTCAGCGAATAGAGCCCTCCCTACAGCAGCTCGTTCATGTTCACACAGATTATGGTTTGCCACGTTTTTGTTCTCGAGACCTCGGGGCTGTCTTCGTGGCGGCGTATAGCTTTGTGAGCGCACTGTCGACGAAATTGGAAGCGCCCCGTAGCCAGTTTGAGTTGGCCAGTCACGGTGTTTACTTGCACCGCGGTCTCGATCTGATCCGGGGTGAGAGGAAAGACTTTGCACGGGGCGGGTTGCCCATTGTCCTTGCCAGGTAGTGTCGCTCGTCTTGATATGCGTTTTTGCAAGACCGGGAGGTACTGAGTCTGTGCTTATGAACAGACGGTGTAGACTCGGAGATGGCCGGTTTCTTAGTTCGTTCCTGGGGTCGGTTGGATGGGTTTCGAGGCGGCGGAGAGAGATGGTTACTTATGAGGTGAGCAGGACTAGTAGGTATCATGGGAGTAGCAGAGATAAGTCTGGACTCTACAGCCAGAAGATTTGTGGTGTTTGTGGATTAGAAACAGAACTGCAAGGTCAACTCTACCTCTTCACCCGCTCCGGCTCTAAGGAGTTTGAGCAGACTCCTCTCTTACTTCGCCATACTCTCACCGACTATTTTAACTAGAGGCCCACACCACGTACCGTAAGTAAAATGACAGCGTACCGTACCCCCACAACAATCCCCATACAAAACCCTAACCCCCGCATCCCCCCATCCACGCTTTCGCAGTGCCGCCAGCGCTATCACACAGGCCTTGGTCGCACGGCCACACACCGCATCGCATCAAAATCCTCCATCGCACGGCAAAAGCGCAAAGCGATTAAGGGGGGTGTTAGTTGTGAGGCGGAGGCTACGGAGGCTAGTTTTGACCAATTGAAGGCTTAGCGAGCGAGTTATTTGTACGTAGTCAATTGTATTTTATCGCTGTAATCGCTTTTTTGCGTTGCTTTCGCTGCAGAGGGTGGTTTTGCCTTGTGGGTTGTGAGGATTCGCGGTGTTGTGGGCTGCCAGCTGGGGGCGAGGGCGCGGAATGCGGGGGTTAGGGTTCTCTATGAGGATTTTGGTGGTGCTACGGTACGCGGTGTGGGCCTCTTTAACTAACTCATGCTTACCTCGCCGTAGACAGCATTTGTTATCTTCCAAAGCTTCTTCCAACCCTTCCGACTCCGTCCGGCCTTTCACTTGTGGCCGAGGACACGATCCGCAGGGCGACTGCACTCAGCCGACCTGGAATCCAGACAGGAGCGCGAAACCCAAGACAGAACGGGCATATCCACTAGGGGATACCCTACCGTATTTCCCCTGACACTAAACGGTAAAGAAGAGCCGACGGGGCCCACGCCGGTCCCCTTGCTTCACCATCGATCGGCTGGGCTCTCCGTTGCTCTCCTGCGGCGCCGCACTCACAGGCCCGTTCCGGAACGGCCAGATCCATCAAACAAACAGGTTCGTTGGTCTAGCGGTATGATTCTCGCTTAGGGTGTACCCTGAGTCAAAATGCGAGAGGTCCCGGGTTCAATCCCCGGACGAACCCTGATTTTTGCCCCGAACGGGCATTGAAAAAAGACCCTTTGCCAATGCCCCTGACCGGCGTCACTTGCACGTGTACGAGGGTGGCTGCGAGGTTCTAGAGCTTTGAGTCGCTCGGTTGGCGGCTGTTGCCGGCCTCAACACCGCCGGGTGCAGTTTGGGCTGAAGCTGAAGGCGGATTTGTGGCGGGTGAAATGTGGATCGTGAGGTCGTTGGTGCTTGCGGGGCGGCGTTCTCGCAAATGGAAACCGGGGTTGGGGAATAGAAGTATATGAGAGACTCAATAAAGGGAAACTTTTAACAGTCTTCGATGTTGACTCTGCTGCAATTATGATTGTGCAACAACCTTGACGGCGTTGGAGAGGTGAGGTGAGGTGAAGCGGCCGGGGAATCCTCGGGCCGCAGCGACGGCTCAGAAGCTTGGGCCATCCGTGGGCCCCACCGGCAGCCGCTCCGCTGCGACAGCTCGACCAAATTGAGGTCATCAGTCAAAAGCGAAATCCATCCACGGTCGAAACGAGCTTATTCGAACGCGGCGACGGCCATTGTCGCGCCCCGACATGCCTGTACGTCAACTGGATGACCCCTGTTCAAAACTTAGCGGTTTCTAACAACATGTCTTTCAATTGGAATAGGAACGGCTCTGAGCAGCTTCACATACCACGATGCGGTCGCAGTTGACACGCAATGCGTATCGTCGACTGCTCGCAGGCCATGGCTGGCTGTGGCCATGCCTGACGCCATCCGGCCGCTCTCACTACTCCCAATGTCGCCCCAGACCGCCCGCGCAGGCCCTCCTTCGTCACCCGCCCCGGAGGTCGTTCCTTGGCCTCTTCCAACCTCCCCCGCGCGAACCGAAGCAGCCCGTGGTTGAGCCTGGGTATGATGTATTACTCAAGTTCCGAGCCATGGAAACCGAAGATGCTCGCCCACCTGACCGCAAACAGCTCATCGCCGGCCTTGCCCGGTTCTTTCGCGGCAAGTACAAGTCACGACTTCCTATAACAGAGACACAAGCGTTCCTTGCACACCGTGTGCTTCGATATCTCGTAGACAACCCCCCCGATGGCGAAGGCGCGGTTGACGACATTGAGCCGCAGGTGCTGAAAACTGGCCTCATGGTTATTCAATCCCTTGACAAGAGCATAAAGTCCCGTGACTTTGTGGAGCTTGCAAAGTTACTCTACGCTGAACTTGAATGGAGAAGAAAGGCACAAGCTGGCGAAGAGCTCAAACGCAGCGAGGAAGCATATTATGTCAACTTTGAGGCGTACTTGGCGTGTCTCACGAGATTCGGTGCGTCACTGGAAGCCCTGGAGCTGCTTAACGAGTATCGGGCTACCCTCTCGGTTCAAGAACAAGCTCACGGGAATTTCGGAAAATTGTGGTCCCATGTGCTACAGGGACTAGTACACGAAGGACGTGAAAAGGAACTTCTCGCAGAGTGTCAGAGGGCAATGGACCTGGGAATTGGATATTCGCAGACTTTGCATTATGCCATGACCTCCTTCTACATCAACCAGGACGATGTTGAGGAGGTAAAACGATGGTTTGAAAGGCCAATCAAAGGAGGGGGGGCTGTGTCGAGAAGTTTATTACTGGCAGTATTTTCCTTCGCGGCACGGAATGGCCTGCAACAATGGGGCCAGTCGGTAATTGAGAAGTTGGCGCTGACCAAACCGAAGAGATATCTGTGGGATCTCTCGTATAGATGGTCTGTACTCGCCATGGATACAGGGGTTGAGGGCATCAAGCAGATGATTGCCAAAGTAAAAGAAGAAACCGGTCTCGAACCTGACGGCACAACCATCAACCATCTGCTCGAAGCAGCTATCGAAAAGAAGAACCCATTCCTTGCGGAACGGTTCGTCAGTCTCGGCGCGGAGTTAGGCATTGAACCCACGCCGTCGACATACCTACTCCAGATGGACTATCGGCTCGATGCCAAAGATCTCAGCGGCGTCGAACACATATATCAGAAGATCATAAATCGGGAGCTCGAATTTCCGGACAAGCGGGCGAGGGAGGTTCTCAGCAAGTACCTCAGCGTCCTCTGTCGCGCCGAGAAGCCCGATATCCAGCGCATCCTGGACGTCACAGGACAAATGGAGATGTACCATCCGGCCTGTTTGCTGCCCGACACCATCGTCGACCTCTGCATGGTCCTTCTACACAACGATCAGCAGTTTGATGTCATTGACACGCTCTCCCTCCACACCGTCATGCTGGGTCTTCAAGACCGTGCCAAAATTTGGAAGGCCTTGGTGGATTACTGCCTCGATACCAAAGTCAGCACGGCGCGTGTCTGGGATGCCTACTCGCTCCTCCGCCAGTTCTTCCCCGAGACGGAACCGGCGGATCGCGTCCGCCTCATGGAGGCCTTTTTCGCCCGCCGTCGCCCAGACATGGCTTGCAACATTTTTGGCCACATGCGAGGTCACGCAAACCCAGTGCAGCGACCGACGGCTGACATTTACGTCCGTTGCTTGGAAGGCCTCGGCCGGTGGCCGCACCATGAATCCCTCAAGCTGATCCACAATATGCTGAAGATGGACACCACGGTCAATGTGGACACCCGGATTCGAAACGGCTTGATGATCGCGTACACTGCCGTTGGCGACCCATCCACTGCGCTGGAGTTTTGGGAGCAGATCTCCGCCTCATCGGAGGGGCCGACGAACAACAGTCTGGCTGCTGTGTTTTGGGCTTGCGAGCGTCTCGAATTTCGCAGTGAGATGGCCAAAAAGCTATGGAAGCGGATCCAGCGCTTGGACCTGGAGGTTCCTCCCAGTGTGTTGAATGCGTACTGCGGCGCGTTGGCTGGGCAGGGCCAGTTGAATGAGGTGAAGGAAGCCATTGGGAGCATGGAGGCGACTCAGGGGTACTCTCCGTCGCCGATGACGTAAGTGTTGCCTTTTCTCTGGGTGCTGGAACTGGACTCTGTTGCTAACTATGAGCAGGCTCGGTGTGACGTTCAATGCTTTACCGCCGCCGGCAAAGGAGCCTTTTGAAGTATGGGCCAAGGAAGAATACCCCAAGATCTGGGCGCGTCTTAAGAGCAAGGGACGCAAGACAACGATGGAGGGAGATATGTTCAATATTGAGAGAACTTTTGAGGCATGACGGGCGACTTCAGATTCTGTATATAGGCGGGGTATCATAGAGCTCGGATCTCGGTATATCTTTGTAACCTGTACATGTGTAGCCGTGGAGATAAAAGAAAGGCATTGGTTGGTGCTGGTATTTGTATTGTACACATCGCTTTATACACACCTCCGGCAGAGAGCTAAGGCGACAACATAGAGGTCCTTCTAATTGTACAAGAGATATATATGCTATTACATCATCGTCTATGCCACAGAGGGAGGAGTCTAAGAGCGGCTGAACCGCGTTGCCTTCGCGGCAATGGGGAGTTGCGTTGTGGGAAGCGTGCCGTGTGATATGTACGCTGTGTGGTTGAGAAGGATTTCGGGATGCAGATGCACACTGGGGTGGAGCCCCATCCCAATCGCCCTCCGAATCGCCTTGGCCATCTTTCGCTGGTTGACAGGTCGCAGGCCGGAGTTTTTGCTGTGTTCGATACGGCCGTGGGCTGTCATGTGCTCGCTGATCATGGCGAGGTTCTGGAAGGGTTGTTGTCAGTTTTCCTACAGTAAATCACCCCTATGCACTGCGTCGGCACAGTGAGGAAAGAAGGGCGGGAAAACATACGCGGTAGTTGTCAACGGGGTTGAATCCCATCATATCTACAATGTCCACCGCTGGCGGGTTGCTGTACCGCCAGCGCTTGGCCTCGACGTGGCTCAGGTCCTTGGGCGCGTAGACGTCGCCCTTGCGCCACTTTCGCGGCATCATGCGCAGATATGCGTCTGTTTGGCCTGCCGCGGCGAGTTCCCTCTCCGTGTCTTCCCGCTTTTGTTGCTGCTTCGCCGTGTAGGCGGGGCTGTTGTCGAGGAGGAGGTTGGTGATGTCGCCTGGCGTGCGGCTCGAGCTGCGGGTGAGATCGGAGAGTTTGGCGGCGGAGGAGGCGTGGTCTTTTACTTTTGGGGTGAAGAGGTGGGTTAGTTGGGTTGGTAAGGGGGGAAAGTAGGGGCAAGGGGGGAGCTCACAGGCTGAGGCGCGAGAGGAGGTTGAGAATGGTGCTGCTTTTGGTTGCGGGTGGAAGAGGGTCGTTTGGCATTGGCGGAGCGCCGAGGAGAACCATGTTCGGGAGGCCATGGTGGATGGTGAAAGGGGATGGTCTCCGTCGGGTGGCCTCTTTCGGTATCGTCGTCGTCGTCGTCGTGAAGCTTCGCGATGGTAGTGATGTCGGCAGCAATTGGACTTTTTGGCGGATTATCCTTTCGGCGCGCCGGATTGGCGGACGTGGTGTGCTCCACTTTGCGGTTCGGCTTGGCAAGCGACAAGGGTGTTGCGGCAGGCAGAGTTTGGAGTGGGGCAATATTTTTTTGGACATTCAGGTTCACTGCGACGATGCTCAAGCATTAAACACCGACATTTTTGATCGTTTTACTGCGCAGTTGTAGCAGGCCGGCAAGATGGTTCGGAAGCTCAAGTTTCATGAGCAGAAGCTCCTGCGCAAGCATGACTTCGTCAATTACAAGCAGGACAATAATCACAGAGATCACGATGTTGCGAGGCGGTACATGATCCAAAAGCCAGAAGACTATGTGAGATTTTTTGACGTTTTTTATGCTGAAGATTATTGCTAACGGCGGAATAGCACAAGTACAACAGGATATGTGGCGTGGGTGCTCACTACCTGGGAGGTTCAAGACGTCGCCTTTCAAGCTAACATTTTGCGCTTTGCAGTCACTGAGACAGCTGGCCCACCGTTTGAGCGTAAGTGTAGAACTTTTCTTCAGCTTCAGGGTCGGTACTTGAGCTGACACGCAATCTTCAGCTTCTGCCCCCAGATAACGAAGTCCGTCGGAAGCATGAGCAATTACTCTTGGACAAGCTCTATGACATGGGCATTCTATCAGTATGTCCTCTTGTGGTCTA